AAGGTTTTCCATTATTCTGCAGTGAACAAAATCGGAGAAGAAGGTTCCTTGCTACTGTTAACAGAAGCACCAACATGGTTACAGCTGGTGGCATGAACTTGAGTCCCCCTGCCTCTACCGGTTTTCCTTCCTCCACGATTACTAGAGTTGGATTTGCTCCTATCTTCCCACCATTCCGGATACCCCACGAGTTCGAAACAACTTGTGGCTTCATGCCCTTTTTTTTTTTTTGCAATGTGTACATGTTAGATGTGATTTATCAATTCGTTCACGACTTCGTCCCTTTGCCTCGCTAGCACGAACTGAAAATCCCAACACTTCAGGGGGTTTTTCTTCTATCACTCTTAGCTATTCGAAATCTTTCATCTTGAACAACCAATTGGAAAGATTTATCCAGCGAAGGAAGCGGGTCTTGGGAAAGGATACTTATACAAAGTGCAGCAAGGTAATCAGAATTCAAGTCCATAAGAAACTTATGTAGCATGTCGTTATCCCTCCTTGTAGCATGGAGAGTTCCTGCTGTACATTTCTCACAACATGTACAACTTATGATAGGTTTGTGGTTGTGAAGTTCTTCCCACAAACCCGTCAATTTCCCAAAATATTCTGCCACAATCATGTTCTTGTCCTGTTCGCATTTGGCTATAGTTGTCTTCAATTGTTGAATTCTAGGCCCATTTACAACAGCATACCAAGATTTCAACGTGTCCCACAATCGTTTTGCGTCTCGATATTTTGCAATGTTGTTCTTCACCTCTGGATCTATAGTATTCATCCTCTAGGACACACAACATCGCATTGATGGTGTCCCAATCTGCCTTTGTGCATGGGGGTTCCGGACTTGTGATCGTTCCATCCAAAAATCTATACTTTCGACGTGCCTCTAATGCAGTACGAATGTCTCCAACCCAATCGTCATAATCGTCACCACACAATTTAGTTGGCGTAATAAAATCTCATGGCCAATCTTGAGGTCCAAGATAAAAAGGTGAGTTGGCTTCAATCTTTGTCGGTGGCGGTGTTGCTCCACTTGCTTCCATCGTCATGTTTTAGGGTTTTAGGGTTTTTACACTCGCTCTGATACCATGAAAAGATATGGCTCAAAAAATTGATCCCCTGATTCATTTAGTTTGTTTTGTATATATACATGATACAATGAAGGTAAACTCTAGAGCTAGCCTCTAACAGAATACAAATTCAAACTAAGAGATAAACTATGAGCCTAACTAGATAATACTAATTCTTGAAATCTTATCCTCGAGCCTTTACAGAAGCAACAAACTGGTTAGGCTCGAGGGTGTTTTGCAGGTTACTCAATTGGAAGGACTAAAAGAAGGAGTGTTGGTTATGTGGTGTTCTTAATCCCATAGAAAGAAGAGGAGAGTAAGGGGGAGATTGTAACAACTAACAACCCAAAAACCAATATAAAATTTTTCAGTTTTTCGAAAATAAACAATTGCCACAGATATAAAATTTATTCCAAAACCATCACGATGTATAACTGTTATATCATCATAGTAAAATATCAAAAATGTGGAAACAACAGGAGAGAATGTTATGCCATCATGTCGGCCCCTTCCCCTTAGTATCGAAAGCACCTAAAACCATAAACACAAACTATAAGCAAACGTTTAGTGAGTTTTCTCAAAACACCACATACCAAAAAATAATTAATGTTATGGGCCAAATCATAGTCTTACAATTATTGTTGGTAGCCAAATCCCAGTCTTATATATAGGTGCCAATGGCTAGATCCTGATCTTTCATACAATTGTCAAGGGGCAGATCCTAGTCTTCCATACAATTTCCAGAGGTCAGATCTTGGTCTTCCATACAATACAGGGGCCACATTCTGCTCTTTCATATACATATCACATAAATAATCTTCATATTGAAATGCAAAGGATGGGCCAGCTTTGGTGCCTTCGACCCATTGATACCGTGAGAAACTCACCTTAATCTGTAACACTCAGTTTCAGATTGCTTCATTAGCCGGAGTTGTGGACCAATCATCAGTTATCATGAAGTTTAGGGCCTTGGAAAAGAAAGGATTTTGCCCTTTTCGGATGTGGGTGGTATGGTTTAAGTGATCCAAGTATTTGATGGTGTTTTCAGAGCTCAAGGGTATAACTATATTTTGGGAAGTTCGGGTCTTCATGAATTTCGGTTTATTGTTCAGGAGGTTTTAAGGTGAGGGTGAGCTGTTAGAAGTGTAGGACATCATGTCACCTTTCCGTAGATATAAAGTTCATCGGAAACGGACCTAGAACGAAGAAGTGCAAAAATTTAGGGTTTCATCCAGATAGGCCTACTCATCGAGTCAGGGCATCCAACTCGGCGAGTAGGTTCTCCTTCCCGCATCCAATATTAACCTCTACTCGACGAGGTTGGGCTTCCAACTCGCCGAGTCCCATAATCAAAAGTGAAAAAATTTATAATTAAATTACGTACCAGGAATCGGGTGTTACAACTCTCCCCCACTTATTTCAGACTTCATCCT